AGTTAAAGAGACAACAAAATATGAAGGACACAGAGTTGTGGTGACAGAAAATAACGCAAAGCCTCCAATATCACACGTGGGGAGAACAATGGTGACTTTATCATGCAACTCGAAGGAATTTCAGCTCGATGAGGTCTACCATGTCCAGGGGATCAAGAAAAACTTGTTGTCCATAACTCAACTTACAGCATCAGGAAACCATGTTGTATTTAGCCCAGATGACGTCAAGGTCTGCAAAGAAGTCAAGATCGTCGGCATGCCTCTCATGGAAGGAGTAAAGAAGGACTCAATGTATGTGATGTCGGCAGAGTCAACCTATATTGATCGAGCAAGAAGAAATGACACAGTTGACTTGTGGCATGGTCGCCTCCGTCATGTTGGTTATCACAAGCTTAAATTGATGATGAAGAAATCTATGTTGAAAGGTCTTCCCCAACTGGAGGTTCGAGACAACATAGTCTGTGCAGGATGCCAATATGGCAAGGCACATCAGCTTCCCTATGAGGAGTCACACTATAAAGCAAAGGAGCCTTTGGAGCTGGTCCACTCAGACGTATTTGGACGTGTTAAGCAAACATCTATTAGTGGTTGTCGTTATATGGTCACATTTATTGACGACTACTCCAGATACGTATGGGTGGCATTCATGAAGGAGAAGTCAGAAACCTTCATGAAGTTCAAGGAATTCAAGGAGAAGGTCGAAGCTAAGTTGGGAAGAAGAATTAAAGTACTACGCACGGACAATGGGGGAGAGTATAAATCTGATGAGTTCTATGATTACTTAAAGAGGCATAAGATCATGAGACAATTCACCTATCCTAGGATGCCACAACAGAATGGCGTGGCAGAAAGGAAGAACAGACATCTTGCAGAGGTAGTCAGAAGTATGCTACATGCCAAGAATGTTCCAGGAAGATTTTGGGCAGAGTGCATGAAGACTGCAGTATACATCACTAACAAACTTCCTCAGCCAAGGTTAGGATTCATATCACCATTTCAAAAGTTATGGAAAATGAAGCCTGCGATCAGTCATCTCTGAGTATTTGGATGTGTATGTTATGTCCTCGTTTCGGAGCAAAGAAGCAAGTTCGACAAGAAAGCAAAGTGATGCATCTTCCTTGGGTATGAAAGCGAGAGAAAAGGCTGGAGGTGTTATGATCCAACAATAAATAAGGCAATGGTTTCCAGAAACGTTGTCTTTGATAAAGCATCCTCCTGGTGGACTCCTGTTGAAGTGTTATTACCAGACAATGAGAAAGAGAGTCAAGCTCAAGAAAGCGAGGGGGAGCAATCTGAAGTGTAGGAATCGACACATCCAGATCCTATGCTTGAATCAAGTCAGAGTAAAGTAATGCAATCACCTAATTAACCCCAGGGAAACAAGAGAGTTTGAAGAATTTCTCCCTAGTCAAGAAGAAATGCCAAAGACTGTTGATGATGATCAACCAGAACTGCGACGTTCAAAAAGGCCCAGGAGGTCTAACCCAAAGTATGCAAATGCAGCCATTATAGAAGAAGAGAAAGAGCCAACAAGTTATGAGGAAGCCTCAAGACATGAAAAGTGGAGAAAAGCCATGGAGGAAGAAATAAGAGCCTTGAAAGAAAATGAGACATGGGAGATAGTACCTAAACCCATGAATGCATAACCAATATCTTGCAAATGGATATACAAGGTCAAAACTCAACCCGATGGATCGGTGGAACGATACAAGGTTCGGTTAGTGGAACGAGGCTTCTCAGCAATATGGACTAGACTACGATGAAACATTTAGTCCTGTGGCCAAGATAACTATTGTTCGAGTTCTATTAGCAATAGCAGCAACTAAAGGATGGAAGTTATGGCAGATGGATGTTAATAATGCATTCTTGCACGGAGAGCTTGACAGAGAAATCTATATGGATCAACCACAAGGTTTTGAAAGTGTCACACATCCAGGATACGTATGCAAGTTGAAGAAGGCGCTATATGGACTGAAACAATCTCCACGAGAATGGTATGGAAAAATTGCAGAATATTTAGATCGCAATAGTTACATGCTAGCTCCAGCTGACTCTAGCCTACTCGTGAAGAATAAACAAGGAAAATTGTCCATAGTACTTGTCTATGTGGACAATCTCATCATCACTGGAGATGATGTGGCAGAGAATGCACAAATCAAGGAAAATCTCTCAATGCGCTTCAGAATGAAGGAGCTTGGAGTATTAAGGCACTTTCTCGGGCTTAAAGTTGAAAGAACTAAAGAAGGATTATTTCTCTGCCCCCACAAGTATGCAAAGGATCTTCTAGGGAAATCTGGAATGCTGGAGTGCAAACCAGTAACTACTCCAGTAGAGATCAATGCAAAACTTTGCTCTACAGAGGGAAAAGACTTAGAAGACAGAACGATATATCGACAGCTGGTAGGAAGTTTGATCTACCTAACACTGACGAGGCCAGATATATCATATGTAGTTGGGCTGGTTAGTCGTTTCAAGGAAAGTCCAAAGAAACCTCATCTAGAAGCAGCAAAGAGGATTTTGCGATATGTAAAAGGAACTGTTAATCATGGCATCTTCTACAAGAGAGGCGGAACAGGAGAACTAGTTAGATACTGTGATGTGATTACGCTGGAGATCTTGATACCAGGAAATCAACAACAGGATATGTATTCAGCATTGGATCTGGACCAGTGTCATGGTGTAGTAAAAAGCAACCTACCGTGGCACTTTCAACGACTGAGGTAGAATACAAAGCTTCAACAATGGAAGCTCAAGAATGTGTGTGGCTAGTACAACTTCTACAAATTTTGGGACAATAGGTGAACTACTCAGTACCGATATATTGTGACAACCAATCAGCCATGCGACTTGTGGAGAATCATGTATTTCACGCAAGGACAAAGCACGTGGAGGTACAATATCACTTTATCAGAGAGAAGGTACTGCAAGGGTTTGTTAGCATGAAGTATGTCAACACTGAAGATCAGGTTGCTGATATTTTCACTAAAGGGCTAAACGGACCACGACTTCAAGATCTTACAAGAAGGCTCGGAGTGACATGAAAATACCAAATATATTTTAAGGGGGAGAATTGAAGAATTAAAATATATTTGATTGGTTGGGATACTTTGTTATGTGTAATAAATGAAAGAATGAAAAATCTAGAACAGAAAAGAGAGGGAAGGATAAGCGAGAAGACGATGGAGAGATTGAGAAATCTCTAGAGAAGATTAAAATAATAATTGGTGGGAGATTTTTTTGGTGTATGTCGGTTGCTAGCTAGTATAAATAGGGGGAGAGTCTTTGATGTGGGTGTGTGGAGTGAAGTGAGGAAAAATAAGAAAGAAAGAAGAGGGTTCTCACGTACAGGTGAGAAAGTGAGGAAGAGTGTCTTGTAAGAGTTTGTAGAGTGTGGTGAGGTTTATAGTTGTAGTATGAGCTCTCTTGTGTTGTAAGTTACAATACAATGTGTGAAGTTTGTAAAAGTGTCAATTTAGCCCACCAAGTTTAACAAGTGCTATTCAGAGCATACTCGATCCAAAATTCAACATAAAAGAATACGAACCACTTAGAAAAAGAATCTTTATAACCAGGAATTTAGGTTTGAAATGGTAGGAATCAATGTAAAATAATTTGATTCAAGCGATCACTTTCAGCGACAGCTTGATGCTACCAGTAGGATGGGTAAAAATGCACGCCCCATCCCTGCAAACGCGAATGAAATTCAAGCTCGTGGCGACACATAATATTATGGGACAAAAGTAAATACTGTAAAAAGAAAGTGGGCAGATGCAGGGTGTAACGCAATTACACAGGCTGATTGAGCGGCAGTCAGAAGGCACAACATCTGCGGAAGATGATGCACGTAGTAGTACCTCTGTACTTGTGAACCAATGGAAAACACAGACAAAGAACCATGGACGCTATATCTGATGAAAAACAAAGATCGCCACGCTGATTATATCGAAGAGCTAGGTCTGATTTTCATAAGAAACAATATAATGTGGAGAAAGAGCCGGTGGGCAAGTGGTTCTACAGTTATAACATAATTTAGTTGGCTTCATTGCCTTACTGCAACTCGTGAAATGTACGCCTAACTTCTACGTATATAAAGGCAAATTGTCGCGAGTATTAATGGAATTAAAACAAAAAGAACGAAGGCTTACGAAGCCTAATTTATCCTAATTTTACATATTCCATTTAGATCAAATTAGGGATAAACTAACCTCCTAACTCCGACACGAAGCACGAAGTAAGCACCATAAAAATACGAATTGGGCGGTCGACAACAACTACCGTCTCGAAGGCTGGGGGGGGATAAATTGCTTCTTGTTTGCCCCTCTGTGCAGCAGGCAACCAGAATTTTGAAAATCAACAATGGTAAGTTCAGGAATTTCTCCATGAAGATCACCTACTGGAATGACGCGACGGCAGAGACGGTTTCGGAGAATGACTCTTGGGTCACAATTCATGGTATCCCTTTCCATCTGAAAAGTGTCAATCTGATCCAATGCACAGGGGAATTCTGTGGAACTTTACTTGACAATTATTGGAATGTTTGGTCCTGTAATCTAGTGAGGATTCGCATTCGTATCAGGGGATGTTTGCCGGAATTGACCCCTATCCATTTCGGCGACGATATCTACCGGCTAAGGATCATTCCAGAATCAGAAGTCAGCCGCAGGTCACCGGAGAATTTTGGATCCCTCTCTGGCGGGGAACCCGAGCGCCGCTCTTTGAGTTCCGTTCCCGTGCATGGGAGATCTGTCTGCATGGAAAACCTAACGGGTGTGGAGACACGGAGCACGCGAGTCTTTCGACTCCCGCTTCAAATTCAAACCCCCTCACGCGCAGGAATTCTGAATTAGCATCTAAAAAGGTTTGGGTCAGGAAATCTGGGCCTGTTTGGCCCCGGACCGTAGGCTTTTCGGACTGCTTCTCTATTTCTTCCAGGCTTCAGATGACCAAGCCTGTTTTAGAAATTGATCAAGAAGAACCCCAGGCCCCGTACCATCTATCCCCCTGGCTGCTATTGCTTCTCAATCATCTGTCTTCCTCTTTTACAAGCCAGCGTGTCCCCCTCCCCGGCCAGACTAGCTACCACCCATTTCCCTTTGCTTGCCATCAATTCATGGTGCTCTACTCTCACTTCCTTCAATCCAGCAATCTCTTGTTGACCCTCACCTGCATGCACGACCATCACTTTCACTTTCTTACCTCCTACCTTCTCAAACCCAGATTCCTCTTGCCCCTTCCCCTCCTCTATTTCCTCCCCCGCAGCCCACATCCTTAGCCTCCCTGACCCCAGAGACCTTTCCCTTTCACCACAATGTCCCCCATCCCCACCCACCCCTGTCCCTATTGCTCCAGTCCAGTCCATTCCCAAACCCTTGATCCTCCCTCACCGGAGAACCTGACTACCCCTGTATCCCAACCAAGCGATATATCGACACACGTTTTCTCTTCAGATCTACCATCCCCCCTCACGTTTTCTCTGGAGGAAGCAAGCCTATCGGTGGGAGAACTCTTCTCTTTAGGCCATGAGGAGGGCTTCGATCAGGTCAAGAAGATTATTGTTGGCAAGACTCAAGATACGCATCAGAGGAAAATTCGGTCGTCAAGGACCAAGCTAGAGATGGAGCGGAGGCGACTCGAACCAATTACGTCGCCGATTTCAGGACCCCGTAAGAGGAAGTCCAAGGCAGGAGACTTACCCACTGGTACTCAATGAATTGTTCTATAATCAGTTGGAATGTGCGAGGTCTGGGCAACAGGGACAAAAGAGCGAGAGTTAAAGAGATTTCTGGGTACTAGAATCCTTGGTCTGATTGAAACAAAATGGTCGCAATGCTCTGATGAATTTGTGTACAACATCTTCGCCAATAGGAACGTGGACTGGGTTGCCAAGGATGCGGTTGGTAGTTCGTGTGGGATGGGATCGCTATCATCTGGGACAAGAGTGTTTTTCGGTAAGTCAGTAACTCCTCTGGGTCGTTTTACCTGTGTGTCGAGTTCCAGTAACTGTCCTCCCTCAAAAGTTTGGTTATTTGTAGTGGTCTATGGTCCCCAGGACAGGGAGGAGAAAATTGCTTTCATTCACGAACTTGATAATCTTTGTGGTTCCTTGGCTTCCCCTCTCTGCATTGCTGGTGATTTCAACTTAGTCCGTAGCCATGATGATTATCGAGGATGCAGGCGTAGTGTGAATCTCATGGGAACGGGTACGGTGCTAATTGTACAATAGTTAGCACCGTCCTAACCAAGGGAAAAACTACTACTAGTTTGAATTAGTAGCGATTTAGCTTAGATGTTGTATTGATTTTATAATAATCCGTAGTGATTTCGTTATTTTTAGTAGCGTTTTTTGCTAGTTATCACGGTTCCCATCCCGAATCTCATGGATGAGTTTAACGATTTTATTGACGATAATGGTCTCCTTGACTTACCTTTGGGAGGGAGTAGTTTCACATGGAGTAAAGGTGCAGGTCAGGACTGTATGTCTCGGATCGACCGGGTGCTTGTGAATCAATTTTTTGATATTTTGTATCCTGATTGCACTCTAAGTGCCAACGAACGAATCGAGTCAGATCATAATCCTCTGCTCATCAAGTGGGGTGATTTCCAGCATATAAGAAGGTTTTGGAGATTTGAGAATATGTGGCTGGAGGACGAGAGGTTTTTTGCCAGTCTTAATGAATGGTTTCAAGCTCCAGTTCAAGGTAGAGGAAGCATATTCTTGTGGGTGAAAAGATTACAGGATCTGAAATTGAAAATTAAGAACTGGAATAGAGAAGTTTTTGGCAATATCAATCTGCAGATCGATTGGGCAAATTAAGGGATATTGATTCAACTAAAGAGGCTCGTAGTCTTTCTGAAGAAGAAATTGCAGACAGATGCAGACTGAGTAACAAATTGGGAAGGCTGCTTTACTTGCAAGAGATCTCCTGGAGACAAAAATTAAGAGAAACTTGACTCAAGAAGGGAGACAATAATACAGGTTTCTTTCACAAGGTGGCTAATTTTCGTAGGAAGTTAAAGTTCATTAGTTGTATCAAGATTGATCGCGAGAAAGTAGAAGGGAAGCAAGAGCTTGCGAGGGGAATCTTCGGTTTTTATTCTAGGCTCTTTACCGAAGACATAATCAGAGGCCTTTTCCTAGTGTTTATGTTGATAGAGGCTGGATGACATTGCTAAAGAGGAGCTTGTTTGTAGCTTCTACGAACAGGAAATTTGGGCGAGTCTTTCGGATAGTGACGACGATAAAGCTCCAGGACCCGATGGTTTATCGTGGGAATTTTATAAAAGGGGTTGGCAGTGGATCAGAGGAGATATTCTTAAAATTTTTCAAGAATTTCACAGCAGCGGCTTATTACCTCAGTGCGCAACTCACTCTTTTCTTTGCCTTGTGCCTAAAAAGGATACAGTGGAAGAGATCAAGGACTTGCGTCCCATCAGCCTCATGGGTAGCTTGAATAAGTTGATAAGTAAAATTCTTGCCCGTTGGATGAGCAAGGTGTTGCCTCAACTAGTTTCTCCCAACCAGCAAGCTTCCGTCAAAGGGAGGCAGATTTCGTATGCTGGTCTGATCGCGTTTGAGCTCTTGGACAGACGGCGGAAGAGCAAGAACCCTGGGATTATGTTTAAACTCGATATCGAAAAGGCATTTGACAATGTTAGTTGGGATTGCCTTTTCAAAGTTCTTTCGAAGCTTGGTTTCCCTTCTAAGTGGCAAAGCTGGATTCGTGGAACTATGTGCTCTCCAGTCATATCCACTCTCATAAACGGCGAAGCTAAAGGTTATTTCCAGCCGCAAAAAGGTCCGCGCCAAGGCGATTCGCTTTCTTCTGGTCTTTTCTCCCTTGTTATGGACGTTTTGTCCTTTAGGATGAACAAGGTGCAGGAAGCCGAGAAAATCAAAGGGTTTTGCATGAACAAGAACAGGGGTGCCGGGGAAGTCTCACATGTATTATTCGCTGATGACACACTCATCTTTTGCGACGCTTCCTGTGATCAAGTCTTAAGCATTATGGCCACGCTTGTTTGCTTCCAAGCTGTTTCGGGACTAAGGATCAACTTAGACAAATCGATTATGTTTACTGTTGGCGATGTTCCAAACTCAGAATTCTTTGCGAATATTATTGGGTGTAGGTGGAGCAATGAGCCGTTCAAATATGTTGGATTCCCTCTTGGATCAAAGGTGAATGCTATCGCGACTTGGGATCCCATCATTGAGAAGTACCAACAAAGGCTCGAGGGTTGGAAGGCCAGGTTTCTTTCCTTTGGTGGCAGACTAGTGTTGAATAAATCAGTTTTGTCAAATCATCCCTCGTACTATTTCTCTCTACTGCGAGCTCCTATGGAGGTAGTGAATAGAATCGAAAAGATCCAAAGGAGATTTGTTTGGAGTGGTACGACTGATAATCAAAGGATCCCCTTGTGAGATGGGATTTGTGCAAGGTTTTGAAGGAGAATGGAGGCCTTGGTGGAAGGAGCTAATAAACACCAAATATTCTGATTCCCAGTCCATTTGGCAGAGTGATCGCTGTAAAAGCGGTTTCTCGGGGTCTGTCTGGGCCAATATCACTAGGGAGTACGAGACTTTCTAGAAGAATGTTCATATTGATCCTGAAGGAGGTGCTTGGGTCTCCTTCTGGAAGGATTGCTGGATCCGACCGTGACCCTTGCTAAAGCTTTTCCGCGCGTCGCCGCTGTCGCTTCTTCCCCTGATGCTTGGGTCGCCGACATCGCAACCAGGGCAGGTGAGACTGTTCATTGGAATCTTAACTTTAACGTCAATTTGAGAAAGATAGAAACATGCATTTCGATTTATTTAGCATTTGGACTTATTTGCTAGTTTATGATTGTTTATGAATTTATGGGTAATTGGGGGATTTAATTGGGGGTTTAATAAGTTGGGGTAGTCATTGGTAATTAGGAATTGTTATTTAAACTATTTTTCTACGTTGAATGAGATTAGCAAAGAGATTAAATCCTAATAATATTCTAATCCCTCTCCCTCTTTCTCTCTTTGCCGACCCCATCCTTCCCCTCCCTCTCTGGCTGCGCGCAGCTTCCTCCTTTCCCCCTTACCTCTCAATTTTAATTTCACTTCCCTCTTCCCTTCCCCAGTACACTCGACCCACATCAGGAGCCCAAATCAAGGCTCCTTTTCCATTTTGAATTCCCTTTCGCATCATTCGATAGATCCCGGAGAACGGGTTTCTATCATCTGGTATCAGAGCCCGATTCCGACTATTGAGTTTGTCGCAACTCTACACCGGGACGGGCAGCAACACCATGGCGATCAGGTGCGAAAAAGGAAAGGGATGGCGGTTAGAGAATATAATATCACCCTTGTCTCCTTTATCTAAACAGATAAAAAAGTCATTGTATGACAAAAAAGCTTTATACTAAAGCAAGAAGGCAGAAGTACAAATGGAATGATGAGATAGCTGCATTACATCACAAAAGCATAATAAGTATAGAAGTGTTCACCTGTTGCTGGTTTACTAATGAAACTAAAGTTATTTCCTTTTCTTCATTTGCATTGTCTGAGTTTTCAATTTATTTTGGCGAAACACTAGAACTGTAGGCAATCATTGAATGAAACCCTGGATCTTGTAGTACACATCTTTTGAGATAATCATTTGAAGTTTCCTGCAAGACCATGGAACTGTAGACAATCATACGAAGTTATCAGTTTGTAAGAGGCTCCATTAACCATGGCATACAAAAAGAAGTGAAACATAAGTTAAAACACTGGATTCACATATCCATTGGTAGGGGTTCTTCCATTACAGTTTAGATTGATCTTCTGTTGGTGAACTCAGAAAGAGATCTTCACAGAGAATACACTGACAATACAGGCTTTCATGTGGTAGGAGCCTTGAAATGTGATTCCCAACAGGCTGTCGTGAAACGGACCCCAAAGTGACCTTCTTGCAACTGCTCCACGCCTTAGGCAATTCCTGGCAGCTTGCCTGTGTTGCCATAGGGTTTTGTCGAGCTTTAAAACAACACTTCCCAGCCTCCCCTCGAAGTCCCAGCCATACCCATTTGTTCAGCAACTTACAAGGTTCAAAACAAACCCTCCATCTCCAATTTCTAGCAAGCCACACGTAAGAAACAGGCTGACAAAGAACGCTACCTGAAACAACTTCAACACTTGACCAAAATTCCAGATTATGCCTTCCACTTGAACTTGCCTCTTTATCGATCCATGGAAGCTTCAATGGTACGTAAATTGTGACCACATAAGGCCCCCCTGTTGATAAAGCTTTGCCCTCAAAGCTTGGGCCTTCCGTGCTTCAAACGAATCAATAAATTGTTCCCAAATTGGATCCCAAGTAAGCTGGCCAAACCTTGTGTGCTGGAAATCGATGGCGGTGTTCTTCGTTGAGCACATTGGGGCTTTTCTCCACAGAGAACCCCAGTTCAATTCATCACTTCCCTGAGCTTTTTCAATGGTCGAATTGAACTTCTTAAAGAACCGCTCGTGTCGACTTACCTCCAGCAGCGGCAAATCATCCCCGTCACTTTTCCCTTCGTCGTTGCCATTAAAAAACAACGAAGCCAAAATGTTGAATACTATTTTGGGGATTTTGATCCTGGGTAGCCGTTCTCCAAATTGACGATTTGTGGAGCGACCTGAATCCTTCCGCAACGGTTCTCCATTAGAGATTCGGGTCGGGTCATTCTCGAGATTGGATTGAATCAAAAATCCCGCCAAGCTTCCACCCAATAGCTTCTCTCTCTTCCCTTGCTCGAACGTCGTCAGAAAATAGAGTTGCTGCCGCTCTTGGTCGCCGTGGCTCTCGGCGAAGGGCTGTGAGTACGAGTCTGTGAGTGGCCAGAGTCACTTCCCTGCTCGTCCTTTCCTTCGAAGCACTGGACCTCCCTTCGTCTTGAGTTCGATTGGCAGATAATTGCGTTGGTCATCTCGAACCTCAACGGGTGACAAAGGTTGCAGCTTGAACTTCTTATTGTCAAGCTGGAAGGTTTAGCAGTTGGTCCTCCCATGGTGCGTAAGGCCTCGATCGTACTGCCATGGACGACTGAAGATAACATGGGCGACGTGCATTGGCGCCACATCGCAAAGGATTCAATCCTTGTACTTGCCAATTTCAAATTCCACCCACACTTGCTTCGTAACTTTTACTGCGCCATGATCATTAAGCCAATGGAGGCTATATGGTTCGTGGTGCTTCAACGTGCTCAATCCGAGCTTCCTAACTGTCTCCAAACTTACCACGTTGGTAAAACTTCCCCCGTCAATCACCATAGACGCTGTCTTCCCCGAATTAAACAACGCGTGTGGAACAAATTATCTCATTGCTCGGTTGCACAATCAGCTTCAATGGTGAGGGATCTTCTATTCACGAAGGCTACCTTTCCAGGTGGTGTTTCCGGGCCTCTTCTCCTCATTTTCTGATTCGGAGTAATACTCGCCGTCGCGAAAAACCAGGGCCTTCGGCTCGGACCAGCGAATGACTTGTGCCCACGCCCATGACATTTGAAGCACTCCAGCTTGCTTGTCCCTCCACCAACTCGTTCCTGTCCACCCAATTGAATGGTAGGTTTCGACATCGGAAGTCGATTTAGGTTGGTAGCTTCGACTGGCAAAGTCTCGGAAGGGGTGTTCTGTCTAGAAATAGAGGGTGAGAATCGACGCCCCGCCCCACTTTTCAGCTGTCGTTCAACCTTTATGGCAAGATGAACCACCTCCTATAAATCCACAAATTGGCGCAATTCAACTTCGTTCCGAGACCGTGGAGAAAACGTGAAATTGTTGCCTCTTGATCCTCTCGAACATCAGCTCTAACCATCAACAATTCCAACTCCTTGTAATAATCGTCAACGGACCTCGCGCCTTGCCGGATTGCTTGCAGAGACTCGTATATCTCTCATTGGTGGTACGCCGCTACAAACCGCTCTCTCATCAAGCCCCTTAGCTTCTCCCACTTCGCTACATGAGCCTGCAAGTTCCTTCTTCTCAGCAATTGTACTTTCTCCCACCATGTCGCAGCATAATCGGTGAACTCATATGTAGCCAATGTTATTTTATGAGCATCGTTGTAATTACCGCACTGAAAAAACAGAGTAATCTTTCTTCCCAATCTAAATAAGCAGCAACGTTGATTGTTCCTTGAATGACTGGAATCGATAGTTTAATTCCCCTCAATTCCGATATGGGTACCTCCTTTGTTCCTCGCAACATTCCTGTCCGTTGGTGATTTGGCGGTTGCTGGTCCAGATTGTAAACGTCCAGAGCCATCAGCTGTCTTTCGAGCTCCATAACACGCCCGCCAGAGCTTGATCATGGGTCTCTGCCCCATTCCTTCCCGGGTTGCCTTGATTTGTTAGCGGCGGGAACCCCTGCAAATGGGCGGCCTGAGTTCTGAGCGGCGTCGCAGCCATTGGTTCCTCATGCTGTCGCAGCATCATTACCTGGCGAGTCAGAGCATCGAATTTATTGCTGATGTCTTTGAATTTTTCTTCTTGCTTGTCCAGCTTGTTCTGGAGCAGAGCAACAACTTGCTCTTGAAAGAACTGTTGCACCCCTGCCATTGTAACAGGCTGATTTTCACCCATCGCCGATTTCGTAGGGGTAACAGCAACTGGTGTTGCATTGTTTTCGAGCAATTGGGTCGTTGCTGCTGCTGCCTGTTTCTTCTTCTCCGAGAGCAGGACAGGCGGATTACTAGGAACAGGGCCTTTCGACCTTGTCCAGTACGTTGTTCCTTTGCTACTTTCCTCCGTTGGAACGTCTCTTCTGCCGCTGTGTAGAACCAGGCTATAGATGCCACTTGATGAGGCCCAAGTTGGGTCTCAAAGGAATCAAAGTTGCGCAGAAGCTATATCAAGCAAGGCACTTTATCTCAAGTAGAACCGAACTCAAAACTAACAAGATTTAAGCGGGGTTGAACTCGAAATTGGACGGATCGAAAGGGAATCCTTACACCTGGAAGGATGCACAATCGAGTAGTGAAACTTTCGATGTGAACGAGTGTGTGTTGCTCGTTTAATAAGTTGGCCAGCAAGCTTTGATAGCAATCAAAGCCAATTCGAACTCACAAACTCTCAAGCTTGGGAATTAGGGTAAAGACTTAATTCAATTCAACTCTACTTCTTACATTACCTTCGTGTGTCCTTAAATAGAACTTACATCAACTTTAAACGCAAAGAAACCCAAATTAACAAGGAGAAACAAAAACAATACAATTCCTAAAGTAACACGGAAACTTAAAACGCAAGTAAAACATACTTTTGATGCCATCTTCAAAGCCCTCGTAGGCAGACTTCCAGTTGACGAATTGATCACCCAACCCCTTGCTTTTGTACTAGAAAATACAGGCTTTCATGTGGTAGGAGCCTTGAAATGTGATTCCCAACAGGTTGTCGTGAAACGGACCCCAAAGTAACCTGCTTGCAACTGCTCCATGCCTTAGGCAATTCCTGGCAGCTTGCCTATGTTGCCATAGGGTTTTGTCGAGCTTTAAACCAACACTTCCCAGCCTCCCTTCGAAGTCCCAGCCATACCCATTTGTTCAGCAACTTACAAGGTTCAAAACAAACCCTCCATCTCCAATTTCTAGCAAGCCACACATAAGAAACAGGCCGGCAAAGAATGCTACCTGAAACAACTTCAACACTTAATCAAAATTCCAGATTCTGCCTTCCACTTGAACTTGCCTCTTCATCGATCCATGGAAGCTTCAATGGTACGTAAATTGTGATAATATCAGATCCAAAATCTCCAAAATCTTCTTTTACACTCTGCCGAAAACTTCCCTGTTCCAAGTTTTAATAAGAGCCTTCAAGTGTTTGAACTGTTGTCCCAGGAGAAAGAGATCACCACTCCATGCAGGCTGATAATTCCACCAACTAGGCATCTGATCATTGAACGGCTCCTCAAGGTCTATGGATCCTTTCATGATCCCCCCAAATGAGCTGCAAGGAACTGTGGTCTGACTCAACCCTATCAAGAGCCATCAATCTGCAATCCGCTCTCGTATTGTCAAACAGGGGACACACCAGACAACGGTCAATTCTCGACATAGAAGGAGAAACTATGTCGTTGCTCCAAGTAAATGAGGCTCCGTCAAGGGGAGATCGATCAAGGCGGTATCAGCGATCATAGAGTTGAACTCCAATAATAGCTCAGAACTTCTCAAGGCTCCTCTGTATTCCTCGTGCGATCTCATGAGGTTGAAGTCTCCTATAATGCATAAGGGATTTGAACAGCTCTGACATAGTTTCTTTTAACTCAGCAACCTCATTTTGTCTCTACTATCTTGTGGACCATAAACAATCACCAGATCAAAAATGTGCTTATCCGGGATATCTTCAAGTGTCACCAAAAGGCAAAATTCTTTCTCTTGCACGTCAATCTTCTTGAAAGCTAATACATCCCAATATGTAATGGTACCCCCCAATCTACTACCACTAATGAAATTCACTAGGCATTGGTCACATGCGTCCAATTTAGATTCAACAAGTCCAACAATATTTGGCTTCCTTCTTCCCAAAATCCTCTTAATTCGGGCTCTCTTCTGATCACAACCCAAACCCCTAACATTCCACGCAATAATAGACTTAAGCATTAAGATAAGCTCACTGGTGGTTCCAAAGCCTTCTTCCTCCTGGATCGCGGTCCTTCAATCAAATTAGCCACTGGTCCAAGGCGATGAATCTCCATCTCTTTCTTTGATCGGGGAACCTTTTTCCTCCGCTCGTGGGTAAGCGAGGCACTTCGTTGCACATGCTCATCCACTACCTCATTCTGAATGCCATCCTCCAGTCTTAACTCGAATAGCTTGCTCAAGCGCTGGCTACACTGACAAGGCTGTCAAACTCCATAAGAGGGGAGGCAGGAATACTAGTCTCCTCCCCATCCGTTAGCGGCAAACTCGGAAAATCTGGTTCAACAAAGGATGGAAAATCTGGTGGGAAGGGAGAATCAGGAGGGCTTGACAGTTCAGCCTGGACGGAATAGCAGTGGGGAGTAGCGGAAAGCTGGTGGGTAGGAATTGTGATAGGGATGGGGGACAGGCACTGGATAGGAGGGACGAGGAGGTTTTAATCGAAAGGTTCAAGGTGAGAAATTGATGAATCAGGACCAGACTATCTTGGGTAAAGCTGAATCGAGGGCTAGAGGGTGCTCGAAGAAGAGGGAAGGAATGCATGTTGATGAGGTTTAGCGCAAGGGGAAGAAGGTGGTCAAGGGGAAGAGTGGTGGAGTTGACGATCAGGTTCAGGAACGTTTTGGGCTGAATAGAGGATGACTGAAGGTTGGGCTGGACCCAGGTCAAGGTAAGGAAAGGGTGCGAGATACTGGGCTTGAGACTGGGTTTGACACAAATTGTTGGGATGGCCGGGTTACAATAATGGGCTTAGGGAGTGGGCCCGCTTTGCGAATCCAGACCTTTTTCGTCCTGACATTGACGGGCCTGAGAAGAGACTTTTCAGTTTCCTTCCTCGGGGGAGGCAACAACCAGATTGTGCTATTCTCATCTAGTTGATTCATAAAATAAAGTACACTACATTCCACAATGTACACAGACAGTTAATTAAATGGCATAAGAATCAAAACAGGAAATATACAATAATATCAAGAGCAAGAGCCAATAAAAGAATTTGTTCTTGAAAAAATATGCTCAATCTGATGGCAGCAACGGTGATATATAAAGAGCACCTATTGAAACTGGGATTTCAAACTTTAAAAACTAACTGCATTCACCATTTAATTTACTTCAGATGATGAAGGAAATAAGAGAAGCAAAGAGGAACCAACCAATTGAAAAATCAGCATTGAAAAATCATTGTCAACCGAAGTTGTTGGGTTATCTTCTAATTATCCAGTAGAAATCAGAACGGAGTAGCGATTATACACTTTCCAGTTTCCAAGTGACCGAATCTCTAAATGGGTTGCAATGGGGATGAATCTTTGCAACTGAATCCATGGAAAAAGAACCCAGAACCCGAATCCCTAAAAGCAGCGAAAGCAACAAACAGAAATCTGAAGAATAACTTACGGAAAAGCATTCAATACCGATCTAACGCTTAGAGAATGGAAATCATATGTAGATGCAAGCAGATAAAAGAACCAGATGATTGAGTCAAGGTTTGGTTTCCAGAAGCGGGGAAACTTATTCGAATGAGGTGAAAGGGTGGAAGGAAGGGAAGCATTTCTTTCAATGTAAAAAGAGGTGTGTTATTTGCCGCCCGTGTCATTATTATTCGCCGCCCGTAAATTAAACTAAAAAGACATTTTTGCCCTCCAAAATTTCTTTATATTCTATTCTTTGGTTTTGTTTTTTAAAATACCCACACCACCACCCGACCACCAACCCATAATCACCATAGTCGGAGTCACGACCACCGGACAGCAGCCTAAGTCGTCGGTCACCGGACCATCGTCAACATAATTCGCCAGCCACCGGACGGCAGCCGTACCACATCGTCAGACCAGCGAATGAGGTAAACCCCTTGCAATCTTGCCCACCTCCTGTATTTTGCCCCGTCCGACCGTCGACGGCAGACCCCGCCCGAGGTCGGCGAGCGGAGGGCGCCCGACGCCGGCGAGCGGAGGGGGCCCGATGCCGGCGAGCGGACGGGGCCCGACGCCGGCGGTGTTTTTTTTATTTTGATATATATTATGAATTCTAGAGCTAATAATTTAGATTTAATTTATTGCTTTTATTTTTAGTTTACACAGTTGATTTTGTATGTAGTTTGAATTAAGCGATTGTGTTTTTTTGTAGCGCTAATTAGTTTATTGTGTTTAGATTTAATTTGTAGAGCTAATTTGGTTTAATAATTTATATTTAAATAATTTTATTATCGTCAAATTATTGTTATTTTGTAGAGTTAATTAAATTATTACATTTAGTTTAATTTTGCAGAGTCAATTGAAGCACAATTAGTTGAATTAAGCGATTGTGTTTTGTTGTAGCACTAATTAATTTATTGTGTTTAAATTTAATTCATAGAGCTAATTTGGTTTAATAATTTATATTTAAATAATTTTCTTATTGTCATATTAACGTTATTTTGTAGAGTTAATTAAATTATTGCATTTAGTTTAATTTTGTAGAGTCAATTGAAGCACAATTAGTTTAATTAAGTGATTGTGTTTTGTTGTAGTGCTAATTAGTTTAGTGTATTAAGATTTAATTCGTAGAGCTAAATTGGTTTAATAATTTATATTTAATTCAATTTCTTATCGTCAAATTATCCTTATTTTGTAGAGTTAATTAAATTATTGCATTTAGTTTAATTTTGTAGAATCATATAATTTATATCTTTCTAACGAGTTGTAAAATCATAATTGCAGGTGGATCATTTCTTACAATGTTGAACTAAATGGTGATTACACAGACAATTTTCTCAATGGCGTCCGATTTGACAATTTCGAAGATGCTGTAATACTGACCAAAAACATCGTGATGTCTCTTGGTTTGTTTCTAATTAAAGGATCGAATAAGCCACGTGAGTTGCGCAACAAAGAAGATGCTTTATCCGGAGGGCCACAGTCAAATGCAGAAATTTAATTAGGAGGATAAAGAATCTCTGAAGCATATGAGAGATGTTGGGGTACCTCCGTCACAACAGAAGCAGACAATAAACAAGCAGAAGGGTGACAAAGGGCATCACACCAAAAGGAAAATGTATAACCTCGGGTCCAAGTCGAGGAAAGGCGAGATGGGCGAGATGAATGCAGTGCAGTATGCGTTGCATGCAGCTGAACGTGAGAATTATCATATAGAGGTTATGAATGACGATAACGACGTGCTTACCCATCTTTTTTTTGCCCATCCAACTTCCATCAGATGTTGAAGGCTTGGCCGTACGTGATTCTGATCGACTCAACGTATAAGACCAATGCGTATAAATTTCGTGGGTGGAGGTCGTAGGTGCTACTCCAGTTGGGAAGAATTTCAACATATGTTGTGCTCTCATGAAGGAGGAGACAAAAGAGTCATATCATTGGCTGTTGGAGTGCATAAAACAAATGCTCCATCCATGCGTGCCCACTGCCATCATCACCGACCACGAAGGTGGACTACTTGCTACAGTTTCTATGGTCTTCCCCAGCATCCCGCATTTGCTATGTGTTTGGCACATCAACACTAATGTGCAGAAGAAGTTTTTGGAAATATTTGGGAAGGACAAGATGGATTTGGTCAACGAGGCTTACGATCAAGGTTGGTGTCTTATGCTTTATTCTTGGTCCGAGCAAGGTATGTTGGCCGCGTTTGGTCGCTTTAGGGCAAGATGGAGCAATTACGAACAACGTCTGTTGCAATACATACAGGGAGTGTGGTGGCAACATCGAGAGAAGTTGGCAGTTTTTCATACCAAAAATGTGTTTCATCTAGGAAATATGAGCACAAACAGGGTTGAGGCGTCACATTCCGCATTGAAAACTTTCCTCCACAAGTCGCGGGGATCTACGGACACTGTATGGAAAGGAAACCACCGCTACATTACTAACCAACTCGGGGAGGTTAGGATGATGTTGAAAAACTCTCAACGGAAAACCCTTTCACCATCCGGTGGTACACCCTTCACATACTTGAGAAGGAAGGTCAGCATGCAGGCAATTATATTAATGAAGGAGGTTGAAGAAGATTTGGCGGCCCGTTTGGAAAAAAAATGAGAACTCTCGATGTGCATGTCATTTCTCTGTGACACACGGCTTGAGGTGTGGATGTCAAGTTATGGATGGCAGAGCGCGAGACATAGAGATATACCCGGGTGATCTTCATATGTATTGGCGGACACTGACATACGAGCATCCACCCAATGCCCAGGAGTACGCTGCCCACGAGGATGAGGCTAAATTTCACTTTCAGTGGTTGGTTGATGAGGCTGTACCCAGAGGACCAGAGGCAACGACAAAAGCATCAAAGAACGTGTTTCGCGGACTCCACCCAGCGGACGACAATATTCATGAGCCAAAATATTTGGGATATACCGAATACTGTAACGAATTTGTCTATATTTGGTATTACCGAATACACGTATTATTTCTTGGGATTTGGATTGGGATTTAATTTCAATTTTATTCGGTATTAGGGATTACGGGATTCGGATCATTATATACCGAAATACCGAACAATACCGAAATATGAGTTAGTGTGCATTTTATCCTCTCAATTAGAGTCTCTCATTCACTAGTATACGACCCTCAACCACCAATCTCTTGTTATTTTCATAACACCAAAAAACAAACACTAGTATTAGTCTTATCTCGGCCTCCAACACGTCAAATTAAAGATTATCAATGACAAAAACTTGAGATATCACCTTTCCTCCATTCTCCTCATCCATATTCTAGTTCTAGCCAAACTCAAGACTCTTTGCTTAGTCTCTTGGTCCTCTATTAAACAATCAAATTTAATTTATATATTTAATTATTAATTGCAAAGGTTATTAATTTCGTATTCAATAATACCGATTGGGAAGTACCGATTGGGATACCGAAATATTTAGGGATTGGGATACCAAAATTATTTAGGGATTGGGATTGGGATGGATTTTAGGATGTAATGCGGTATTCGGTATTTCGGTATTGGGATACCGATACCGTACCGATTTCCACCCCTAGTGGGATGGTAGCCATGTCTCGTCTGCAAAATCCAACCATGAACGACTACTACAAAAAATGCTAGCCTTGTTGAGATTGGATGGCACTATCCAAATATCGATTTGGACGGCTACCATATGACTCGAAGCCTTTACTTCTGAGGTAGAAAACAAAAACTCCCCTTATGGCCAACTTGCAAAGATTTAGTATGGATATTCACTCCTCGACCATGTTGCGCATCTTAGAAACCATGTCAATTTCAACTAGGTCTCCGTTAGCACTTGGTTGACATCTAAATTACTAACACTCCCTAATGTCCCAAAGGGATGGTACATATGGCATAAAGTACTTTCCATTAATGTTAGACTCTGGTAAGTTGGCACTTTAAAAGTTGGATGAGGATCGTCCTCCATGCCAAGATTGATATTATCCAACACATCACATGCGGCAATGCGCTTGTCATCTTTCACTATTTTCAACAACGTTGTGGCTTCTTTTTAATAATGTCGCCAAAATAGTTTTTTATTTTTTATTTTTTTTTAACATATAACATGGCCTTATTTAGCCACACTTTATTTATTTAAGTTACAAGCTAGACTTTGGCATAAACCATCATGTCGAAGGCCCATACCCATTCCCAACTCCACAGATCAAACTAAA